TAAAACTGAGGTAGGCACCATAATTCCATCTTTACGAGTGTGGATCCTTTTAACTGCCGAAACTTCTTGATTGGAGAAACCAGCAAGGATCTCCGTCTAGGGAATATATTTCAAATCCCTCTCAATGATAACTCCTTGTGAGGAATTCAAGGAAGCGTGGGGAGTAACCTCAATGGGTATATCCCCAATGGCCTTTGAATTCAAGAGAAGTTCACTGTGCTTAGGATGGGAAGTTTCTACTAAGATGTCTCCAGAACGTAGCTTCTTAACTGACTTTGGAGAGCCAGCAAGTCCCTCTAAGCCCTTCTGAATAAAAAAGGAGACATTTGCCCTAAAGATTTACCTGATAGTGAATGCATGATTAAAAAGTGAGGTACAGGTGTACTGTGTGATGGAGACTGCTGTTCAGAGTCTTCTAGGCATGGTCGTTTACCAATAAGCAGATTTTTAACATTTTTTTTATTTGGAATGGGGGGATCCATAATTAAAGAGAGAAATTCAGTGCCCACTGACCCCACCCGCCATGGAGTCCTACGAGGGGATGCACTACAATGTCAAACAAGGACACTGCAGCAATGCCAGGGTTTTGTGAGCACTATACCCAAACACCAGTATCAGACACGATGTCCACAACACCCATTGAGAACACCCAACACTGGTACTCAGTTGACCCTAGCCCCAGTGGACCAACCAAATGACCCCCTAGGGGGTGGCCTTGGGGTGGCCGTTTACAGGAATTCAAGGCCAAAGTGGTGTGTTGCAGTGCCCAGACACCACTCAACCACCAGGATCCTCTCCTCCCCTTCACGGGTCGCCACACACGGCAAACACGTGGGTGGATGTTTAGATCCCAGAGAAAGTAACTGTAAATACAGAACCTTCCCTGGGAGGTCCCCTCACCACATACAGGAATCCACGTCGAGGGGGGAAAAAAAAAAAATTACTGGAAAAACAGAAAACAAAAGACACATACCTGTGGAACCCAAGCAGTTGAGGAAAAAAGTAGGACTACTTAATCCACATCTGGAAGATGGAATGAGAAGCAAAATCAGGTGTGGAAACAAAAGTGATGAAACACTTACAAAATGGGGAAGACTCAACTGAAGTAACAGAAGTAGGTGGTCAGGAATTTTGAATCTGAGATCAGAATGGAACCAACCACATGGTGTACATATGGCAGAAATATCACTAATTATCAGCTTCTCCAGTCACAATTACAGTATTGGATGATTCCTATGAAGGAATGTAAAAAACCTTGATGTCAAAAATGTGGAAACATGAATTCAAAATTCAATTAAACCAAAAACTGATGTTTGTTTTTTTTGTTTGCTTCTTTCATGTTATCTGTTAGAAATAAAATGAGTAAGATATAGTAATGGTGCATAAGCCATATGACAATCTTCAAGAATACTGGTGAAGCCCGAATGTTGGATTAAACAGTGGGAACAGAAAATGCAACATGTGTCCCCAAAAATACAAGGTCATTAAAAGAAAATCAAATTGAAGATAATTCTGACAGGTAAATTTAAAATTTAGTATCATTTTTTCACATAATCATATAGATTAAAGAAAGAAAGACTAAATGATGAATAGTAATAAAAGTTTAAAACAATAAACAAAAATTCTGGTAAATCTTTCAGAACCATAAGTCTGAAGACAAGTAGTGCTGAGGAAAAATTGTGCCTGTGTTCAGGTACTAATGCTCGTGTGTGTGTGTGTGTGTAATGGAGGATGTGCTGCCCTCTTAATGAAGATTACACCATAAATTTACACAATACATGTAGACACATGTCGGCATGAGAGCTTTGTTCAAGGCTGGTGGCATGCACAAATATTTACATGGCAGTCCATGCAAGGTAATAACTCTTTATGGTACAGTGAGGTGAGTAGCATTTCTGAATAACTAAACCAGTTCATTGTTTTGAAATTATTAAACTCAAATTGACAGAAAGCATTTTTTCTTTCTAAGGTCTTACATAAAGAAAAACAATTATATATATATTAAAAATTCATTTGTCATCCATAATCAAAGAAAAATGCCAAAATATATATGTATATTTATATTACAAAATAAGATTTATGTGATGTACAAGTGGGTTTTATCTATTTATTATTATGAATCTTTTTAAGTGATTTGAAGTTTTGAGCATAATTATATGAAATATTTGAATCTCAATAGAGCAACAAGAATAGAGCTATATGTATTCTTACCAAGATTTTAACAGTCAAAACTTTTATAAACAAAAATAAATTCACATTGCTAAGCCACAAAATAAAAAATATTTTGAACAAATATAAACCCTTTTACATATTTTTCTTATGCTATGCTACAATGTCCATTATATAACCTTTATGTTTTCTTACCTAGTGTCTTCATTAATAGATGTCAGTGGTATTGCATAGAAGTGTTTCTTTACTGTCTGTCCATCCATACATTTAATTAATGCAGTTAATGTTTCATCCTATCAAATATTTAGTAATTGATATTTTTATACAATTAAGTTCTACTTAGTAGTTACTTTCCACATGAGATTCAAAATGTTTATTAACAGATATTCCTTTATTTTATTTTTTAAACTGAATTAAAAGAATTTTGAAAACATAATTTAATGAGTATAATGATTGCATAAAACCTGTCTTTCCGATTTTTTTGGTAAGAAATTACAACATCAGGAAACAAACTTGCATGAAAATAAAATTCAGAAAGTTATACAAAGTGTTTATAATTGTTAAAAGACTGCATTTCTTAATGTATTACATTTGTTCTCTAACCTAATTCAGTAAAACAATCAGTACTAAATAGTTAAATAGGTATGGAATATACATACATCCCTTTGAAAATTTAAAGCATAAACAAAATAATATCTGGTAGCATTTCTAACCTATTTTTGTACAATAAGGTTATTCTCACAGATTCACTATATCCTGGATTCCAGTCCTCATTGTATCTCTTGTACATGCAAATCTTGATTTATTAGAGATAATATATCACTGAAAATAACAAAGCTTGTACAAGCATCTTTAAAATACATCCAAGATATAAATAAAATTATTAAAAACTTAAATTAGCTTAATATTTTGCACACACACACACACTTATAACACATCATAATTTTCATTTAAATTACTGAACCAATTTGAAAAAATTAATATATATATATATATATTAATATATATTAGTAATAAATCAGGAAAAGCCTACAACCTCCTTACCCGACTGTGCATTACAGCTACTTTATCTGAATTGCACATTAAAATGCATATGACTTCAGCATTTTTAATTTCTTGCAAAATTGTATGACTAGCTTCCTTAATAATCTCAAAAACTTGTTTCTTGCTTTCACCTGTGTCCATCTGTTGTAAAAATAAAATGTTAGGTGAAAATAGACATAAAGAGAGTATTGTTACAATAGCTTTTCTATAATGCCCTGTCTGTAATAAAAAAAGAAAATACTTTGTCCTTAAAATATTTTTATAGAGAAAATTATTTTATTAAACTGTACCAATTAAACTTAACATTCTCCTTAACTGAAAATGTATTCCCAATAGATATCACCACGCACACAATAGCTAGCTTTATCCATCATGCATCTACCTATGAGATTTGCATACAACTAGCCTTGAGCTAAATCCAAACTAAAAATCAAGTGTTTACCATGAATTACACTAGTGCATGATGACATCACCATGTGAAAACAGCATTCCCCCAATATGAGAGTGACACAACTATCTTTCCCTGTATCTCTCCCTAAGCACTTGGGCTTCAAATAACTTCATTCTTAAATGAAGCAAGAGGAAAGTGAGGAGGACAGGTGAAAAAGTTTGAAGAGGTGAGTATCTATTGGAAATGCATTGACACAAAATAGCTAGAATCCCACATTAAAATGATGGAGGGGCTGATGCAACATTTAACCTAGATGAGCTCCCTTCAGAAAGTGGCCAAATACAAAGCCCATGGCAGTGGTTACATAGGAGCACACCTTTGGAACACCACATCTTATCTCAACTTGGAGAGAAAGGCAAAAGAGCCCCAAGAGTTGCATGGATAAGCAAAAAAGCAAAATATCATGACCAATCAAGTACCCACACATAAATGATTGGTGAGCCAAGTAGAGTAGTGTGGTTAGGGTATGATCAAACCATATGGTGTGTTTCTTTCCTTCACTCAACTAGACAGACAGAGACATGAGTGAGAAATCTGATCCACTGCAGGAGCAGGGCACACTAGCTGTTTGAAGAGTGACCGGTACTATATAGACAGTGCCACCATTACCCTACTTCCCACCATACTGTACTGCACATAATCAGTAAGAAACTTTCCAAGATCCAACACTGCAGCTGCTAGGAACTGGTAAGCAGCATATATACACACTATGTCCATTATAGTAAGATTAAATGGTATAAATAGAATTACCTCAAAGCTAGTACTCGTTCTTCCAAATTACCATTTTAAGTCATGCAAGTAGAAAGAAACTATACATTCATTATCCACAGGTATATTGAACTGCAAATTAAACAGTATCATTGGTGGTATTTGCTTTTAAATTAATGGCTATATTTAAAATGAAACTGCAAAAATAGTAGAAACAATAAAAATGTATCTCAATACTTACAAATTTTGTAGAAGCATCAACTGCTTTAATCCAATGGTCTAATAAGATTGAACCTTTCTGATCTTGTAATTTAAAGGGTGCTGAGAACTTTAGTGATCTCTTTCTTGATTCAGCATTGGTTTTCTTATGATTTATAGCTGCAAAGATGCAAGATACACAAATCACTGAAATTATACACAAAAATAAAAAAATCATATACATTTGAAAAATTTATTAGCAGTTTTGACTTTATTAGTAGCTTGGACTGCTCTAATGTTAATTATAACCATATATGAATTTTTTATAAAATCCTGAAACTAAAAAATGTAATTGAGAGAAACAAATAACTACAAAGCAAGTATTATGATAAATGTAAGTCAGTTCAAAATAAAAACAAATGATAAAGCCTTAATATATAACTGCAAAGAAAGTAAAAACTAGTCTCCAGAAGAAAACTCGTGTTATTAAAAAATATCTTGCTAGTGAATTACTACTAGTCAGCCTGTTGTCTGAAGTAAAAACTGTAAAAACGTTAAAAATGCAAGTTACATTTTTCAAAACATGAAGTTCATAAAGATCAACACCTAATTCATGATATTTAAATTTTTTTTTTTCATTGTTTAAATGTCTTGTGAAACGATTACATGTATGAATCTTATCCTATAAGTATCTGGAAAACAATAACAAAAATTACATCTATATGAATAAGGTTGAAGATGAACACTAAGGACAAATTGATATAACATACTTTAATCAAAACACATTTGCAAGTATGACAATAAAAGTCGGGAAAAGTTGGAAATTGTAAAAGTGCAGGATTAAAATAACTCACACAGTGTTTTCTATTCTTCAATGGTAGCATGCAGTGGTATTATTCATAGTTTGTACAAATACTCACCACAGATAAGTTTCTTTCATATAATAATAAGTGTCTGTACAATACACAGTGAGCTTTTTTAAAATCTAAGGTACAGTGACATATAACAATATGATTTACAAAACCTTTAGGTGATATTATATTTAACACATATCTGAGCTTGCATTAAACATATTAGTTTATGTATCACATAAAATTCCTATAATAAAGTTAATTTTTACACTGTGTTACTCGACCCATAAAGTTTTAAAATAAAAGTGATATTAAACATATCTTCTCCAACCTTATACGTTAAAAAAAGCCAGTACGTCTTAGTTTTAGCTGTACCTTTTACAAACACATGAAATTATAATTCTTCAAGAAAATCATTCTCAATTAACTTTTCTTCCTGCTATGCTCTTCTATCAATACAGCAAAAGGTTTTCTAGCAGTCAATATCTATGACTGCTGCATAATTCATAATTTCCATTTTCTGATTGTTTCATGAATAAGCCAGTTTGAATTGACTATAATAAACAGATCAAATATAAAATCACTCCTTAGAAAAATAAATATTGTATATGAACAAATATTTTTATCTGTTGCTGTTCCTTTTTTTGTTTGCGTAACTTAGAAGATCCAACATACAAATACTATTTGTATATCTATAATACGTAGGGACCGATATATAGGGGCACTTGCTCTACCTTAGCTTGGGGCCCCCTGAGAACTTAACACAGTCCTGTCTGTATGTTATAATAATGCCAAATTGATTCTTAACCAGAATTACTAAATCTTCACAAGAAATAAACATTAAATACCTGAAATCTCAGTTTCTGCTTGAATACTTCCTTGGAGTTCAGCTACAACAGACATTCTACTGTAAAAATACATGAACATTGATACAGTTGAGGAGATCATACACATTACTATCTTCAGTCAAACATACTTCTTATTTAAAAAGTGCATAATAAAGCTGTCATATTTTAATAACTTACATCGAAAGGAAACACAACATAACACTCACAAAATTATTAAGAAAGACTCAAAGATGTTATTTTCTACAACCAATACATTAAGTTATAACAAAAGAAGAGTGATTTGACACAATATTTTCTGTAATTTACTCATGACTTAAATGACTGCTAGCTGATCCTTTGAAGCATGACTTATATAGTAACTGTACTTGACTATGACCAATGTAAATTTTTTGACATTTTTTTATATTTTTATCTTTACATTCACTTTGTTACAATATGCTTGCATTGAGCTTTATACTTTGTAAAAGAAACTTAATATATTTTGTTGAAAGTACAAATAACAGATATATGATTACTACTAATAATCTAAATATTGTTAAAACATCATTCAAGTGTCTTTCAGAGGTCAACAGGTTTTGATCTTAATTCAAACTGAAAAGTTCATACATAATATCTTAACAAAAATTAACAGAACAGATTATAATAACTTTCATACAAAACAACTATACATGCTTGGGGAAAAAGTGTTCTGCAATAGACTTCCTTAAAAAAAAACAGAAGAGTGAACTTACCTATCTTTTTTATCTGTTATGTTCACAATATAGGATTTACTATCATTTTCTTTCAAACCTTCTGAGTGAACAGGTCCTTTGTCTTTGAATTCTTGTATCTGTGGTACCTGCTTCGATGAAGAAACACACAGAGGGTCTTTTTGCTCCTGCACACTACTACAAACATCTTTATTAACATCTGGTAGGGGGCTTTCTTCATAGAATCCAGGACTGAAGCACAAATCAAAATTAACATGAAAAGAAGCCTGTGAGGAAATACATTCATTTTGTGGTGTATTCTCTGTTGCTACATTCTGGAGAAATGGAAAAGCAGAATTTTCAATAACTGTATTATTACGGTCTTTGTCTATTATACTCTCACTTTCATTCATGCAAAGATCAGGACTTAAAGTTTTCATGTTTTGCACATTTTGCACCTCTTTTACCTTAGTTATTACACCTTTCTTGTCTTCATTCTTTTTAAACAGTTTTAGGTTTGTATTGTGTGTTTTAGGTGGAAAATGCTGAAAATAATCTGAATTATGCTTTCTTTTTCTATGAGAAGAATCAACACAAATGTGTGTCTTCTTGAATGTCCACTTACTGGATGATGGCTTTAAAACTGACAAAACAGAACCAAATGGGTTTTCTTGTTTATCAATGGACTTTTCATGTTTTCCATCAAGATTAGACTCATTATAAGTCCTTTTTTCAGAGACATTAGATACATGTCTGTGAGATGTTACTGTTCCCGTGCAGTGTTCCTTGAGAGAAACTACAGAATCATTTACAGCCCCCATACTTGATATTCCATCAGTTGTGAAATAATTTCCTGAGGATAAAGAACTTATTTGGAAGTTCTGATGAAAAGAATTTACCTTTGTAGAATGGGGAGCAAGACTTTCTAAATTATAATTGATATGTAAAAAAGGTTTCTTATGATTAGCAGAATCGCTATTTTCCCTCATGTTTGTTTTCTTTAATGAAATATGCATTGGTGAGCAATCAAGAACATTCCCTGACAAAGTTGATTTTAAAACATTACCAAACACTAGTGGCTGAAACATCTTGTTACTACCAAAGCTTTTCTGGTAAATTGAACTGTAGTAATTGTGACCACCTGTGAGTTAAATAAATATTAATAAAAAAACATATCAAAATCATGACACGAAATAAAATGTTTTAACATGTATATTTTCATACTTAAACATTTTTCAGGATTTTTACCTCTTTAACGAGTTTTTATAAAATATACAAATAAGAGTATTATACCTCATAATATGCTATTTTATGTGTTTTAATGTAAATACTGAAATTATTTCTGACAATGCAGAAAAACTTAACTAGTTTGCTAGTCTCTCAAAAAATTAGATACAAATATTCCTGTTAATGATTTTTTTATCCGTTAAACTGGTATCAGAGTAATTATAAATAATATATAAAGTAAGACCTTTCATGAAAGCTATTTTTTATTAGTTTAATCTTGAAATTCTTCAAAATCATGATCTAAAAAATTTTTACATATTTCTCAGTGGGAAAAATTAGCATTTTCATTCATATTTATTTTATATAATTACAAACTAAACCTGATAACTTTGATAACACATATCACTCAATAAGCAATTTCTTTCCAGTCTATACACAATACTGTTGAGAATTAACTGTGCAAAGTGAAACATATTTCTTTAACTATCTGTAATTCAGCAGAAACATCTGACCAACAAACATTGAATAAACAAAAAATAATTTATTTTTTATTCAATGTTTATTGGTCAAATGTTTCTACTATATTTACAGATATTGAAGAATGCATTTACTCTTGATCCAAAATGTAGTGTAATAACAAATATTCACTTTATTGAAACCACACTCTATATACTTATAGTACCACTTCAAAATTTCAAGGTTGATAAACTGACACATACTGTCTTTGCAAATATTATTTTGGTGATCATTCTTCTTGGAAGCACTACTTAATTTCCAGCTTCTATATGCTTTCAACACAGTTTGACCATCTATTGACAGCTGTGAAATATTTGGCATTGAATAGATTTTACATTCCTGGGACTCATTCCATGTGGGATACATTTTCCCCCATCCAACTCTGAAAGTGAGATGCAAGTAACATTACAAATGAGGTTAAGAAAGTATAAGTCAAATCCTTATTTTTAAGTTTAGATAACAAGTAATGGGCATTAAAGAGAAGATAAAAAATATTTATAAGCTATTTATATACTTCTTGCATTTGAAAACTGAATTTAAATATCATCTTGTTTTTTGGATGAAGTTTTCACTTTCTGCCCATCTCAAGCATGAGGAGTTGGTCATAGGTTGAGATGCACCAAGATGAGTAAAAAGTTAAAACTTCACCCAACAAACAAGTGAATGTAAAATGCATTACTATATCATACGTTCCTGAATATCTTATAGTTATATTTATCTGTCTAGCCATATTGATTGTTAATGTTAGTGTCACACATTTTTTGTTTGTAATATATATATATATATATATATATACATAAATACAATTTTCTTTTAAAGGTTTTGTGTGTGTGTGTTTTGTAGTTTTATTGTCAAGTATGCATAACATTCGGCGCAACATTCCATTCTCGATTTTTGGCTGTGTCAGTCAGTATTACCAATTCACACAATTACTATTACTACTACTAGTGTCGGTGTTACAATACAAGTACAACTTGAATTACTGAGTTAGGTTAGTACTACATGTATTACTGCATATTATTAATGGTACTGTAACCTAAAAGTAAAACAAATAATAAAAATCATATTTAAAGTTTACTTACAATTAACTATCTATTCAGCTACTACAGAGCGATCTCCAACTAAGACTAAATATGCAGACGATATTTCATCTAATAAAGCGCTGTCTTCACTAATTTTAAAAAATGTCCTAATTCTTGAACATAACCAAAGATGTTAAGATAAACAAAAAGATACAAGTTTCGAGCATTAGTTAGTAAGCTTTTAACATAAACAATTGACTATATAGTGTTCAATACGCATATATTTTTCGACTGTAAAATACAAATTCAATTTAGAAAAAATAAGCTTAGCATCCTACAAAGAAAATAATAATCATGAAACAATTAAAAGCGGGTGTTTAATTAAATT